CCGCGAACATTCGTTTTAAACATTGCAAGAGTCTCACGGAGTGGCTCTCGCTTTAGCGCGGCGCACTTTCGTTTAAACAGTTGCAAGAGCTTCACGGATTGAGGGCGGTTCCTTTTCAACATGTGGCTCTCGCTTCAGCACGGCGCACATTCGTTTTTGGTTAAAAGAATTGTAAGAGCTTCACGGATTTCCATCATCAACGTAAGGATTCAGGACTATGCGGATGCAGCAGTTACGTTGATTCTCAGTGTTGAAGGCCTAGGAATGGCGTTCTGGCACGATTCAGGATCGTCAAGACGCAGCAGTCCGGTTGATCCGTGGCGTTGGAATCCCGAGAACAATGTTTTGGCATGGGTCAGGGTCTCCAAACGGGTGTGTTCCAACTAGGCAGTTCCATCAATGGAAATGAACCGTTGTAGGGGCCTATGGAGAGGGAGCTTGGAGGGAGGATTTACTCCAACATCGTTGATGACTCTTGTGTTTCCACTGGTCCTCCTGCTCCTCCTCCTCCTCATCCTCCTCCTCCTCTTCTTCCTCCTCCTCCTCTTCCTCTTACTCCTGCTCCTACTCCTCCTCCTCCGGCTTCTCCTCCTCCTCCTCCTCCTCTTCATGCTCCCGTCCTCCTCCTCCTCCTCTTCTTCATCCTCCTCCTCCTCCTCCTCCTCCTCCTCCTCCTCCTCCTCCTCCTCCTCCTCATCTCCCCTCTCTGACAGGAAAAGGGTCGAGAGCTCTGGGGGTCCGCGCTGGGAGCAGCACGAATCACGACGTCGGGGGTCGGGGGTCGGCGTGGTGGGCCAGACGCCAGGATGCCCACCAGGGAGGGGGCTCGGCAGCGGGGCGGGGAGGTCGGGGCTGCGCGCGGCCAGGTGTTGGTGCCGGCCGGGCCGAGGGAGGACCTGTTCCCCGGCCCGCTTCCCTTCCGGGAGGGCGGATCTCGGGGGCGGAAAAGAGGGGGGTGATGTCTAGGGGGGGGTGGATATCATGGCGCGGGCCATGATATTTCCCCAGATCTCATGGCGCCTCCTCTTGTTTCATTACGTCCCTGGCCCCCCCGCTGGGCCGCGCACATGCCGCCGGCCATGATTTGCACCCCCCCCTCTTGGACACCCCCCTCTTGGCCACTCCCGGGTCATGCAGCTGAGCAGCTCGGGGGAGGGCCAGTCGAGACATCAGCGGGTTCTCCTGGCGTACATCCCTTTCCCTTCCCCCGATTCCCTTACTTTTGGCCACGGCTGGGTCCGCCTCGACAAACCGTTACATGCCGGTCGTTGAAAGTAGGTTTTTTGGGGCTCCCAGATCCCAATCTATTTCAAGCGCCTTCCGACCTCAAGGGTCGATATGCTTTTGTTGTGGTTCGTTATTCTCTTGGAGGGCCTGAGATCAATCTACCTCATCCGTCTTGCTTCTTCGTGTTTTTACCTCCTTCTTCCGACCGACCTGTAAGGATAGACCCCAGGAGGGCCCAGAGACCGATATTGAGTTGCTCGGGTCAAGAGAGGGAAAGCCACCAGGACCCGAGGATTGGCGTTTACTGCATGGCCCTGGGCGTTCACCAAACAGCCTTGCCCTGTTCGCGTCCTTCTGCGGGCGCGTTTACGAAACGGCTTCGCGTGTCGGGTGATTATAAGGAGAGAAGGAGAGGAAGAGAGAGAGAGAGAGAGGGAGAGAGGGAGAGAGAGAGAGAGAGAGAGAGAGATGGGGGAGGCAGGGAGGAAGGGAGGGAGAGGGAGGAGGAGGAGGAGGAGGAGGAGGGCGAGGCGGAGGAGGAGGAGGAGGAGGAGGAGGAGCAGGAGCAGGAGCAGGAGCAGGAGCAGGAGCAGGAGCAGGAGGAGCAGGAGGAGGAGCAGGGTAGGGAAGGGTAGGGTAGGGTAGGGCAGGGTAGGGTCACGTTAGCCAGCTCGAACGAGCCGGAGGGCTCCGTCCACTCCCACCCGCCCCCCCACAACATAAGAAGCAAGTGCGTCGCGTCCGACGCCTGTCGCTCATCTTATACCGCGGGTGGCTAGACGTTCAGCGCGCGACATGAGCTGCGTCCTATTCCTGCCGCGTATTGGGCAACGTCGACGAGGAACAAGATCGCGCGCGATATACGCCGCGCCCCGCTCCGGCCTCTCATGTTGCATCGTCGGCGACAATATGTCCAGCGCGCGAAATGCGCCGCGTTTCATTCCAGCCACGCGCGTTGTACCGCCAATCGTTTCGCTCCTGCCGCGCATGGAGGAGGGGGAGGAGGAGGAGGAGGAGGAGGAGGAAGAGGAGGAGGAGGAGGACGGACGGGAGGGGGAGAGGGAAAGAGGGAGCGATTGAGGAGGAAGAGGAAAATGCCTCTTGGGAATTCGCGGGGCTTTCTGGGAGCTTTCTGGCATACGCCTGAGGGCCTCTTCCGGGTTGAAACATTGTCAACACAAGTAGGTGCTGAGACCACAGTCCTTCAAACACCACATGAACATCCATATTTGTGTTGCCCCCCCAGGGCCTCCTGGGCGCCTTGTTTCGACCTCTCGGGGGTCTCCTGAGGCACTTGCTTGAACCGCACTTGCCTGAGGCATTCTGACTTGCCGCCCGCCCAGCTCCTCAACCCGACGGGCCGCAGCGTCGACGACAAGACAGTAGGGTAGGGTAAGGGGGGGGGAACTTTCTGCCCCCCACGTGGGCCCGGCGGGAGGGCCGCCCCGCTGTCTCGGGCGGCTCTCTCCGCCGAGAGGCGCGGCGAAGCAGCAGCAGCCTTCCATTCCGACCGGCAGGCGTGCCCCGCAGAGGGGGGGGGCCTCGCCCTCGAGGGCCGGGGGGCCGCGCGGGAGGCCTGCGGAGAGGGCGGCGGAAGCGAGGCTGCGGCGGGGCGGGTCCGCTGGGCGGATTGCGGCGGAAGTAGAATCCGGTCGCAGATCATGGGGGCCTCGCATACCCTCGCGGTTCCGTCGACCAGCGTCGATTAGCATCTGGGAGTCGATGAGGTTGCGCCGGTGCGGCGTCGGCTAGCGTCGATTCAGCGTCGATTACAATTGATTTCGCGTCGGACGGCGACGGATGTAACATCTTCTTTGCCCCAGCATACCAATGCTATGTGTGCGTGTGTGTGTCGTCCCCCTGGGGGCGGCGCGCGCGCAGAGAAATCTTGCAGTATAGACGTCGTGGCGGGCGCTTTGTGGCCACAGCGCTCGGGAAACGATTTATTACAAACTGGGTGTACAATGCGTTCGGGTCTGACGTGCGCCTCCGAAGAGGACATCAAGTACCAGTGTGTATCTGCGCGTCCCATAACATTGAAAGGTCGTCACTGTTCGACTCAGGGGTTCAAGCGCCTCGCCTTCGGCGGATGACAGCGGAAGGCCTGTTCAAAATGGCGGAAGTAAGGTTGCGGCGGGGCGTGTCCATTGGCGGAAAGCGGTGAAATTAAAGAAGTGGTAGTCCGAGGAGGAGAGGTTAATAATAGCGCTGTGTTTCTTTGTTTTCCCTGTTAGAGCCAGTCATGTTAAGCCAGCCCAGGCGCAGTCTGCCACGGGCAATGCCCCCACGTGACGGCAAGCTGCGGGCCCCTCGCGGCTGTATTCTCCAGAGTGATGTTCCCCGGCAGAGCTGATCGGCGATTGCACAAATCGTGTTTTTTGTCCGGGTATGGTTTGAGATCTGCGTCGGCCGGGGCTCGGGGGGCACCACATTGCCTTCGTCGGGCGTCCTCGGGTGGCGGCGGAGAACTCAGTTGAGTTCCTCGCCCGCCCCCCAGGGTGTGGGTTGCAAAGCACACCCTCTTCAAACCGCATCCTCTGTCGAGCCGGGTGCCCAGACCCCCGACGTCATATGATTTTCCCACACTGTCGACCCCCAGAGGTCTGGACCCTTTCCCCAGGACTGGTTCCTCATCCCGAGTCGTTTTTTGACGGTCCCGAGGCCCGGTAGGGGCCCCCAGAGGTCGAACATTTGGACAAATTTCCCGTCGTGGTTTTTCATGACTCGAGGGGGCCTGGGGGCAATTCCATGCCCGCTGGGCGATCGATTGAATGACCGACCGAGGCCAGCGCGCAGCTCGGAGAACACACAGTGGGCAGCGGCCGCGGCCTGCAGGCTGCCACACCCTCTCGGCCGCACCCGGGCCGCCACACACGTTTTGAGCCGCGGCCGCCCGCAGCCGCCGCCGCACCCGCGAGCCACAATCGAGGAGCACCTTGTGGGGGTGCGGTCTCGGAGGAGTAAGCGGTACAGGGCAGCGCAGATCCATTTGAGACCTCGCGGCTCCCTCGGGGGCTGCGAAGTGCGCAACGTTCGCCGTGTTCGTGGGCTCCTTCCTAGGAGGCCTGGCAGAGCAGACCCAGACCGTTACCCGTGCCTCGTTGTCGCCTGTGTTTGCATCCCAGGAGGCCCTCGTCGCCATTGCTGGGTTCGCTTCGCAGCTTCGCATTCGTGGTCAGAACGCGTCCCAGGAGAGATCCGCGGAGTATCGGTATCGTGACCTTTTGGTTTCCCCACGGTCTTCCCGTCGCTGCATCCGCAAGGACGGGGGGGCAAGAGCACGACGAGGTGGGACATCGACAAGGGGGCGGGAGAAGAAGAATGAGGCGAAGGGATGGAAAAGAGTTGGGGGTGTGAGCAGGGGGATGAGTCGAGCACGACGATGGGGGACAGGGAGGATGCAGGGAATGGGATATGTGATGCAGGGGGGGAAGGGAGTATGATATGACAAGGGTGGGGGAATCCGTCAGTTGAGCAGGAGCAGAAGGAGGATGGGGAGGACGAGCAGGAGGGCCAGGAGGAGTTGGACATCGATAAGGAGAAGGGAAAATGGCAATCTTGCGATACGACGATACGACGACTTTGAGACATAGGATCACACGATGCCAGGAAAGTTACATGGCGTGTGTTGCTTCGATGCCATAGTAGATCTAGGGAGACTGTGGAAAAATCAGCAGCAACATTAACTATGATGATGAGGGGTCTGTGGAGGAAGAACGAAACGGACAAAGACGAGGAAAGCGATGCCGCTGAGGACGAGGATGGCGACGACGATGAAGAAGAAAGAGGAAGATGAGGGCGAGATTGAGGAGGAAGATAAGCAGGATCATGATGAGTGAGGTGAAGCGGAGGATGAGGGTGTACATCAGGACTTCAAGGAGGATACGAGGACGACGACACCGAGCAGACGAATCCTCCGAGCCGGTGGTTTCGAAGCCTCGGCGGCAGTTCCTGTACCCAGGATCTGGACCAGAAGCCTGACCGAAAACAAAGCCTTCATAATACATATGCATATGTTATGTTTGCATTCACCCAGTGGCCTTAGCCCATTCCGCCACCGTGCCTGGGTTGTAGGAGATGCCTCTTGTATACATGTCATGGTCTCCGAGAGCCTCTTGTAGGCCTTTTCTGGCTTTTGTTTGGGGTGGAGGGCACGAAATGGTTGGTGTTCCTGGGCCCCTCTTGAGGGCTCTTCGGCCGTCTCGGGGCCGCTTGGGCCGTCTTGGACGACCCTGAGGGCCGACAAGCAGATCATGCTAGAATCCTGAAGCGCTTGGGAGGCTTCTGATGGCTCGGGCCTCTTCGGCCAGGGCCTCCGAGACAGCCCTAGAGACAGCCAAGATATTCCGGGACAAGGCTCGGGACCGGAGGACGCTCCTCTCTCAAGCAGTAGCGAAGCCTCCTGGCGTGCCTATAGCCCTACCAAACAATGTTCTAATAACATCTTGTGGTTTCCACGAAATGTTCTTATGTCTTGTTTTATCACATCGGCTTTGTGTTCTAAGAACATTGTTTTTGTTCTTAGAACATTTCTGGGTTCTAAGAATTTGGACGCCCGAAATGGGTACGGAACGAACGGGTACAATGCTCAACAACAAATGTTGTCCCAAACCAACAGCGGCCGCTGTTGGTCAGGCGGCCTTCTGTCTCAAATGGACACAGGCCGCGGCGACACCGACAGCGAGTCCTGTTCAGAATGGACAGGAACTGCTGTTGGGCATCGTACCCATTCTTTTCTTCCCGCACCCATTTCGGGCGTCCATAAAGAACATCTCGTGGCAGGGCTACAGGAATGCCGGGTCGGTCCGTCCCTGCTCAGCTCCCAGTGTCTTGCGGCACGGCGCCCGACTTGTTGTCGCTCTCTGTGGCGGCTCCCGCGCAGCGGGCCGGCCGGCCCGGCTCGGCCGGCGGCCCCGCCCGCCCCCCCCCCCACGCCGGCGGAGGTTCACCCTGAACTTCGCCGGATCCGCCAAGAAGAGCCGCGTGGACCGGCCGTCGTCGTCGTCGTCGTCGTCGCCGTCGTCGTCGTCGCCGTCGTCGTCGTCGTCGTCGTCGTCGTCGCCGTCGGGCGTCTCCCGTCGTCACCGTAGTCGCCGTCGTCGTCGGCTTCGTCGTCTTCGTTGGTTGTTCCATCCATTTGCATCTGCTTTCCCCCCCCGTCGTTCATCCTTCCTCGTCGCTGTTCTTTTCTCGGTGGCCATCTTAGCTCGAGTCATGGATGCTGGAGACGCGCCGGTTCGACACAAAGAGGGTGTTTCGATGTTTATATCCGTGGTGTGACCTTCGCTACGCATGTTGCGCCTTGTTCTCTGCGTATGCCCTCCAGCGGTTCTGGTCCCGCACGTTGTCTGCAGCTGGTTCGCATCCTTGTCGCACTCGAGAGTGCGGGCGCGTCCTTCCAGATGGACTGCATGCTGGCTGGTCCATTCGAGGGGTGGCTATGTCGTGGTTGCAGAGGCCCTTGCATCCTTCCCTCGGGCCCGATTCATCGCCGCTATTTGACCTGAATCGTCTCTCGCCGCTGCCGCTCGCGACGGACCCTATTGAGGGTCTTGCCCGAACGCCCGCATCTGTGCTGATCCCTGCTCCTGCTCCTCCTCCTCCTCCTCCTCTTCCTCCTCCTCGACCTCCTCCCGAAGGCGGGCCCACAGCTCCATCCACGCCCGCCTGGTCAACAGGGGTCCGTCGCGGCAGAACTGCGCAGAGGGCCACAACGCCTGCACGGCAGGCTTCCCTGCACGCCCCAGGCTGGCGGACCAGGAGGTGCACCCTCTGCGCCCGCAGCCCGCGAGCCCGAGGCGATGGCGACGACCGGCCGCCTCGTAGAGCTTCTCCGGGAGGCCTTCCTCCTCGATGCGGGCCCCAGGCTCAGCTGGATTTGCTTCGGTGTCCTGGTCCGAACGCGCCCCGGCGGGCTCAGAGAAGAGCCACACGTCGACGTCGAGGCCGTGCCATCGCCATCGCTGCTGCCTCTTTGGGGCGCCCCGGGGCTCTCTCGTCGCCACGGCGGAATTCGCCTTGGAATCCTGGTCCGAACGGACCCGAGGTCCAGGCAGATCCGCCGCCCGGACCGGTTCTCGCGCCGACAGGCGCCGGAGTAGCAACCGACGCGAGCTGACTCGCAACCCCTCGCTTTCATACCCTTTCGTCCGGCCCAAGGGGAAGCGGAGTGAGGGGGGGAAGATAGAAGGAGGAGCGAGGCTGTAGGGCGAGGTCAGGGGCTCCTGAGTTTCGCCTTCGCTCCCAGGCTCGGCTCTGAGTCGGTTGCGGGCCTTCCGCGGAGGCAAGGGGGCAAAGGTGCCAATAAAAGTCGGGATGGCCGGATGGCCAGGCGAACCAAGGTGGCGACAGAGAGGTGCTTCCAGGGGCTCGATGCGGACAAGGTAGTGGATTGCAACAGGTGGCCGTGGGTAGTGATGGGACGCCTGCCAGCACTCGTGACGTTTTCACAACGTTGCCCTCCAGAGGTCTGGAACCCCTTCCCCAAGACTGGTCTTTCATATCGAGCTGTTTTGAGTGGTCCCGGGGCCACGCGAGGGTCCTGGGAGACGAGGAGACGAAAATAGCAACTGCAATGCCGTCGTGAGCATTCCACGACGAGGGGGTCGTCGGGGAAGTCCCTCCGCTGGTGCCCGGGAGCCGGGCGAGGAGTTCTCCTTCCTCAGCCACGACTTCGGGCCCTGCTTCGTAGCCAAGGGCGGCGCCACGTCCGCCGGCGACCCGCAGGAGTGCCGTCGCTGGCTGGGGCAGGGTGCATCGGCGGGCGGCACCGTAGCGGGTGCTCCCTAACGGGTCCTTTGGAAAGCTGCCGAAGGTTGCCCTTCGAGGGCCTCTTTCGGGCCATTGCAGCCGTTGCCCACATCGGGGAGGGTTGGGTTCGCCGGGTCGTGGGCCAAAGTGCCCGTCAGTGGAGTCCCCGTGAGAGGGGCGCTGAGCGGACGGTTGCAGCCAAGACGCTGAGGTACTCCAAATCCCTTTCGAATCGTCCCCCGGGTCCGGTTTTTTGAGGCGCCTTTTTTTTGTAACTGGGGGGTCCGGTTTATTGGGTATTGGGGCGTTCCCCTTGGATATTGGAGCTCAGGGGGTCCCGTTGATTGAGGCGCCGCGTCAAAAGAAGGGGGTCCGGACTATTGGGTCGCATGTGGAGGGGGGTCCGGTGTTTTAGTGGGGGGAGGGGAAGGAGGAGGAGGAGGAGGAGGAGAAAGGGGAGGAGGGGAGGAGGAGAAAGGGGAGGAGGAGGAGGAGGAGGAGGAGGAGGAGGAGGAGGAGAAAGGGGAGGAGGAGGAGGAGGAGGAGGAGGAGGACAACACGAGGAGGAGAAAGGGGAGGAGGAGGAGTAGGGGCGGCGCCCGTGGTCGGGCCGCGCTCCCCGAGAGGGCCGGCCCGAGAGCACTCCGACGATGCGCTTTGAGGAGGCCCGCCGCGGCCGGAGGAGCGCCCGCGTGCCTTCGCGGCAGCAGTCCTCGCGGCAGTCTTCGAGGGCTGCAGCACCGAGCCGGGCGTGTCCCTCCACAGGAGGAAGAAGTCAAACATAGCCAGAAAATAGTTGGGGGTATTTTTTACTGTCAGATAACAGTGAAAACATGGTACAGGAAGAAGTCAGCAATAGTCAGACATATAGTCAGAACATAGTCGAAAATAGTCCAGAAATAGTCAGAAAATACTATTTGTGAGCAGTTCTTCGATTATGTTTGGGTATTTTGTTTATTTTTCGTCCAGAATCCGCCTGTAGGAGGACACGCCCGACTCAGTGCAGCAGGAGCGGCCGCGGAGGGCGCGCTCCGCCCGCCCCACAGCAGCAGGGTCAGGGACAGCGACGGGTTGGGGAGAGCCTCAGGGTGGAGCGCATCGACCCCCAATCGCCCATTCAGCGCCGATGGGGGGCTGGACAGCCAACCCCGCCCAGGAACGCGGGGCTCCGCTATCCAGGGCCTATCGCGATCTATCGGCAGTGTATCGCCGATTCCAGGTCGATGTTTCTCCCTCCCCCGAGACGGTCCTCGTTGCCCCTTCTATATTTTGGCTCGACAGCAGTTTGGAGGTTGAATGTGGAGTGCGCGTGGAGTGCGCGTTGCGGAAAAGATTGTTTTGTTCGATCGCGCATCTCATGATTGCGTCGCACATGCTGCGTCTGAGACGTGCAGGAACACCCACCCACATGCGCCGCTGCCGTCGTCTTGTAGCATGGGCCCCGCGGCATCTGCCAGGGCCGCGATGCCGATTCGCTTCGATTCAGTTCGCTGTATTGGCATCGGCCAGGGTCAGCGGGGGCCTGGCGCGGCGGTCCGACTTCGATTCGAGTCGATTCGCTGGCGACCCGATTTGTTTCCGATCCGACCTGGCTTCGTGATATTCGATCCAGCTCAGGCATTTCATCACGCACGATGCCATCTCTGGCAGGTTGTGCTTGCCTTGCAGTTTGAGCTCTCTCCCTCCCGGCGCCACCTCAGGACCAGGGGCAGGAGCGGGTGGAGCTGGTCGGCGCGCGCCCCACCTGCACTCTTGAAACTCAGGAGGGGGAAATCTACGCAAACACGAATGAACGCTGATCTTTATAAACGTGTGGGGAGAGATGGGAAATGGAGGGGAGGAGGAAAACCCAGGAAATACTGAACACATGTATATAGATGTATATGAATATCGGACATTGTTTGTGTCGATCTGTTCGTGTTCCGCTGGGCCACGAAACGGGCATGGGGGCGCGAGCGAGCCCCAGTGTGAGCGTGGTTCACATCGTGTGGCGCGCCCCGGGAAGAGGCGCCGCCTGCGGCGAATGCTGCCCTCGGCGGAGGCGGGCGGGGCGGCGGAGGCTCCCGAACGGCGACGGGCCAGCTTGCGGAGGGCCGGCGGAAGGCGGCGGAAGGCAGTGAGAGGAGGTGAGCCTCTCGAGTCCTGGGTTGCTGGGATCGGCCATCCCAGAGATCTCGCGGCGCCAGCATCGCAGAGCGGATTTCGCCCGGAAAACACGAGGGCGGGCCCGGAGTGTCCTGGAGAATGTCGTTCCGGGTGTCGAAGTGGATTTCGTGCGGTTTTTTTTGCCCAGGAATGAAAACTAAAAAATTCCACGTGAAATTCACTACGTTTTTCGCTCGCCGTTTCGGGGTTGTGTATTGTCAGAAATCCATGCAAAAATCCGCTGGAGCACGTCTGCAAGGTCGGTGCAGTGAGAGATCCGACGCTCTGAGCAAATTTTGGGCGGCTGGTGTCTGTCCATGTTCGGCCTCTGGGGGCCCTCGCCATGCCTTGGGGCCGTCGAGGAAGGACTCGGTACGAAAAGCCGGCCCTGGGGAAGTGGTCCAAACCTCCAGGGCCCACGCATCGAAAAAGATGGAGCGGCTGGATCACGAGTTCGTCGTCACCGACATTGGCGCGCAAGCTGCCCTCGCAAGGTCGCACGTAAGCGCCCTCGTTTCCAATGAAGCGTGCCGCGCTGGCGGCCCGCGTAAGCTACCGCGTGAGGTCGCTAGGCCATCTCGCAAAAGACCAGATTTGTTTCGTCGCTCATGTGAACGCCAGTGCAATTTGGACCCGGGTGATGTTTCAGAGAGGCTCCGCACTAACGCCAGCCTCGCAGAGGCATTCCCAAGATTTCCGAGCACAACGTGTGATTGTTTCCCGAGAGCGCGGAGAAGGAGAGATCGCAGTAAATTGTTCTTCAGTTGTCTCGTCGCGTGCTGTCGGGCCCCCGCGTTTGCGGCGATGCTCCTGAAGTTCCCTCGTCGTACCTTTCGGATTCCAGCCATCATTTTTGGGAGCATTGGTTACTCTGGGCTGCTTGTAATGGATGTTTGACGTTTCTTCTCCCAGAGATGAAAGGTTCATCATCGCTCGTTGAACCGTGTCTCACGGCATGATGAACAAAAGAAACGCAAGTTACAGAATCTGTTCATTTGCAATAGCGGGTTGCTAACACGTTGACCCAAGCGCAGGCTCGAGGGATCACCCAGGTATAGTCGGTGATTGGTCGATTGCGGTTCCCCGACCCATGATTAAAGAGTTGTTCAAATGCAACACGCACCTCGAATCGAAGAAGTAGCAAAAAACAGGCTGTCGAATGTCCGCGCGGATTTGTTGGATTTGCGCTGGACCCCTGGCGGCGCCTCCAGCGCCAGCCCTGGCGCGCTCCGCGCGCCAAGGAGGGGGTCCCGGCATTCATCCAGCGCGAAAGTTTACGTGTACTCCCCAAGCATCGCTTGCACTTAGGGGTTCTTATTTCTTTTCGAGGGAACTGGGCCTGTGTGTCTGTCTGGCGGCTATGTTGTCGACTTCGCCGCCCCGTCGCCGCCTCGCCGTCGCCGCTTCCGTCGCCGCCTCGTCGCCATCCATCGTCTTGGCAAATGCGTCAGTCTGGCAGCTAAGTTGTCAACGTCGCCGCCCCGTCACCGCCCCGCATAGATTGCACCGCGCAGATTGCACCGCCTAGATTCTCCTCTCTAAAAAGAGAATAGACTCTCCCCCCCTGCGGCGTTATCGGTCCCCCTTTCGGGTATGTAAATCATCTGTGATTATGACCACATGTCCATCCTAAATCTGAATTTACATTATCCTCGGGGACCGGTATCGGTCCCCCTGAGGTTCCCTTGTAAAAAAGAATACGCGGGGACATGGTTTGTTCTAACATAAAACTTTTTGTGCAAATCCCTTGCAAAAAATTGGACGAAGTGCACACGCGCGCGTCGTCGCGCGCGCATGCCGAAATCCTTCAGAAACCCATCGGTTTCCGAAGGATTTCAAAATTGTGTGTCCAAAAAACCTACAAAAACACAAGGTTTCGCAACACGGATTTTCAACAAAAGCGTGCGCGCGCGCTCTTGCGTCGTCGTCGTCGTCGTCGTCGTCGTCGCCGTCCTTCCTCCTCCCGCGTCGTCGTCGTCGTCGTCGTCGCCTACGTCGTCCTCTGTCTTTCCTCGTGTTCGTCGTCGTCCTCCTCTTTGGCGTCGTGGTCGTTTCCGTCGTCGTTGTCGCCGTGGTCGTCCTTCCTCCTCCTCCCTCGTCGTCGTCGTCATCCGTCGTCGGCGTCTCGTCGTCGTCCCTCCTATTTCGCCGCCGTCGTCGTCGTCGTCGTCGTCGTCGTCGACTTCCCTCCTCCCTCGTCGTTGTCGACGTCGGCGTCGCCGTCCTTCCTCCTTCTTCGTCGTTCGCGTCATCGCCGTCGTCCCTCCTCCCTCGTCGTTGTCGTTGTTGTCGCCGTAGTCGTCCTCCCTCCTCCCTCGTCGTCGTCGTCTTCGTTGGCGACGTCGTTGTCGGCGTCGGCGTCGTCGTCGTCCTCGTCGTCGTCGACGTCGGCGTCGTCGTCGTCGCCACCGTCGTCGTCGTCCTCGTCGTCGTCGGCGTCGGCGTCGTCGACGTCGTCGTCGTAGTCGTCGGCGTCGGCGTCGTCGTCGTCGTCGGTGTCGTCGTCGTTGTCGTCTTCGTCGTCGTCGTTGTCGTCTTCGTGGAAGTCTTCGGAGACCTTTTCGGTGGCGTCGTAGTCGTTGTCGTTGGTGTCGTCGCAGTCTGTCTTAAGAGGTTTAGCACACCAATTTTTTCGGGTGGATGGGTGGGATGTTTGCAAGAGCATGGGATGTGTCAAACCATGGGTAAAAATCAATTGCGCCCCATATATTGCACCACATAGATTGCACTTCAAATATTGCACTGCAAAGATTGCACCCATAGATTGCACCCATAGATTGCACCACATACGTAGGTTGCACTACAAAGATTGCACTGCATGGATTGCCTCACATATATTGCACAACACTATTGCATCGCACTGGGATTATCTAGCCCACCCCCCCTGGGATAGTGCAATGTACATCTATGGTTTTGTCCCACCGTTCATTGCAACCACGAATTCGGAACACCATAGCTGGATCCCTTTTATCGCCCCAGCCCTCATCACAACCAAGTGCAATACTACGCGCGCACACTCGTCCACGAAACATGTCACCAATGTTCAATAATACTTCGCAGCAACATATAATGAAGTCGACATGCGCGCGTCGCCGCTCGCGCGTGCAGCAGTTCTTCAAACACCTGAGGTGTCGGAAGGATGTTGAGATCGAGTTCCCCGAAAATATAAACCACATCGGTTTTGTGGCACAGTGTTTCAACACCATACGCGCCCTTTGGCGAATTCTTATGGAAACCGTTTGGTTGTTAACATATTCATCGCATGCGGCCAAGCGGGCCTCTCGCGCGCGCATGTCGAAATCAATCAAACGCCCTTGCGCGCTTGCTGGGGGGGGGGGGGGGCACGATCCTTGCCAAATCATACCATGCGGGCCACTCGCGCCAGTCGGCCGTGCGCGCATGCCGATCTCCTACCAAAACCTTCATCACCGACACGTGCGCGTAATCAGCATCATTATCATCAGCATCATCATCAGCAGCATCATGATATTTATCAGCGTGAACGGCATCGGCGTCGTCACTGGCCTTGCCGCCGTCATCGTCATCATCGTCACCAGCATCGCTACTACCATCCTCGTTTCTGCCGTGGCCGACGTCGCCATGATGCCGCGTCCGTCCGAGTTGCCGACTCGCACACGCGTCAGCGCGGCCTGCGAGGCGCGCTGTGGAGTCCCCAGCGATCAGCGCCACCGCGTCGTCGTCGATCGCGCCAGACCAGCTGGCCGCTCTGCGCGCGAGCCGGCGCGCGCTAGCGCGGCCGCAGCGATGTGCGAGCCAGCGCCAAGCAGCCATCGCAGTCGCCGCCGCATGCGTTTTGTCATCCAGGTTGCGGGTGGGTGGGTGGGATGTTTGCACGAGCGGCGGAGCTAGCAATCAACCAGTGAGCATTCGTGAATTCTCCTTTCTGAAAAGAGAATAGACTCTACCTCCCTCGGACTTAACGCGTTCCCCTGGGATACCTTGATTTCATATATATATATATATATATGTATGTATGTGTATATATATATATATATATATATATATATATTCTGCACACTCGTCCATCCTGAATATGAAAGCAGATCATCCCAGCCAAACTGGGTTCCCCCCCCTGAGGTTCCCTTGTTTAAACAACTATGCGGTGACATTTGTTGTTGTAACATAACACTGGTTCACGAATCCCTTCACAAAAACAGGACGAAGTGCACGCGCGCGCGTCGTCGCGCGAGCATGCCGGAATCCTTCAAACCTTCGGTGCCGGAGTTCGCAATCGAGTGTCCAAAACACATACAAAACACATGGTTTCGCAACAGTGATTTTCTAAACAAGCTTACGCGCGAGCTCTTGCGAAATCTTAAGAAAACCATTGGTTATTCAATATTTTCACAACATGCTACCAAACGGGCGTCGCGCGCGCGCATGTCGAAATCTGTCGAACGCCTTTGCGCGTGTGCCGTCGCGAGAATCCTCTGCAAAAAACGGGACGAAGTGCAGGCGCGCGCTTTGTCGCGCGCGTGCGCCGAAATCCGTCAAAACCCATCGGTTTCGGAAGGATTTCAAAATCGCGCGTCCAAAACACTTACAATTTCCTTGTGACGTACCCAACCCATTTGTATACATGGAAACGACGAGTTGGCCGAAACTTGTATGGACAATCAACTTGACGTGTAAGCTACTTGGGAGGCGTCACTGTGCTGGGCCCCGCAAGCAGGCCTCGAAAGTGGCGACAGTTTCACATATCGCAGGTCACCAGGGATGGCGAGGTCGAATTTGAATCTGCGTGTGGCGTCACTGTGCTGGGCCCCCCAGCAGGCCGCGAAAGTGGCGACAGTTTCACAGATCGCAGCCCCCCAGGGATGGCGATGTCCCATTTGGAGTCCGCCGTGGGTACCCACTGTGCTGGGCCCCCCAGCAGGCCTCGAAAGTGGCGACAGTTTCACAGATCGCAGCCCCCCAGGGATGGCGAGGTCCCATTTGAGTCCGCCGTGGGTACCCACTGTGCTGGGCCCCCCAACAGGCCTCGAAAGTGGCGACAGTTTCACAGATCGCAGCCCCCCAGGGATGGCGAGATACAATTTGAGTCCGCCGTGTGTATCCACTGTGCTGGGCCCCCCAGCAAGCCGCGAAAGTGGCGACAGTTTCGCAGATCGCAGCCCCCCAGAAATAGCGAGGTCCCATTTGAGTCCGCCGTGTGTACCCACTGTGCTGGGCCCCCCCCAACAGGCCTCCACAGTGGCGACAGTTTCACAGATCGCAGCCCCCCAGGGATGGCGAGTTCCCACTTGAGTCCACCGTGTGTACCCAGTGTGCTGGGCTCCCCAGCAGGCCTCGAAAGTGGCGGCAGTTTCACAGATCGCAGCCCCCCAGGGATGCCGAGGTCCAATTTGAGTCCGCCGTGTGTACCCACTGTGCTGGGCACCCCAGCAGCCCTCGAAAGTGGCGACAGCGTCGCAGATCGCAGCCCTCCAGGGATGGCGAGGTCACATTTGAGTCCGCCGTGTGTACCCACTGTGCTGGGCCCCCCAGCAGCCTTCGAAAGTGGCGACGGTTTCACAGATCGCAGCCCCCCAGGGGCGGCGAGGTCCAATTTGAGTCCGCCGTGGGTACCCACTGCGCTGACCCCCCCAGCAGGCCTCGAACGTGGCTAGGGTTTCACAGATCGCAGCCCCCCGGGGATGGCGAGGTCCAATTTGAGTCCGCCGTGTGTACCCACTGTGCTGGCCCCCCCAGCAGCCCTCGAAAGTGGCGACAGTTTCGCAGATCGCAGCCCCCCAGGGATGGCGATGTCCTATTTGAGTCTGCCGTGGGTACCCACTGTGCTGGGCCCCCCAGCAGGCCTCGAAAGTGGCGACAGTTTCACAGATCGCAGCCCCCCAGGGATGGCGAGGTCAAATTTGAGTCCGCCGTGTGTACCCACTGTGTTGGGCCCCCCAGCAGCCCTCGAAAGTGGCGACAGTTTCGCAGATCGCAGCCCCCCAGGGATGGCGAGGTCCCATTTGAGTCCGCCGTGTGTACCCAGTGTGCTGGGCCCCCCAGCAGGCCTCGAAAGTGGCGGCAGTTTCGCAGATCGCAGCCCCCCAAGGATGGCGAGGTACAATTTGAGTCCGCCGTGTGTACCCACTGCGCTGGGCCCCCCAGCAGGCCTCGAAAGTGGCCGCAGTTTCACAGATCGCAGCCCCCCAGGAATGGCGAGGTCACATTTGAGTCCGCCGTGGGTACCCTCTGTGCTGGGCCCCCCAGCAGCCCTCGAAAGTGGCGACAGTTTCGCAGATCGCAGCCCCCCAGGGATGGCGAGGTCCAATGTGAGCCCGCCGTGTGTACCCACTGTGCTGGGCCCCCCAGCAGCCCTCGAAAGTGGCGACAGTTTCGCAGATCGCAGCCCCCCAGGGACGGCGAGTTCCAATTTGAGTCCGCCGTGGGTACCCACTGTGCTGGGGTCCCCAGCAGCCCTCGAAAGTGGTTGCAGTTTCACAGATCGCAGCCCCCCGGTGATGGCGAGGTCAAATTTGAATCCGCCGTGTGTACCCACAGTGCTGTCCCCCCCAGCAGCCCTCGAAAGTGGCGGCAGTTTCGCAGATCGCAGCCCCCCAGGGATGGCGAGGTCCAATGTGAGCCCGCCATGTGTACCCACTGTGCTGGGCCACCCAGCAGGCCTCGAAAGTGGCGACAGCTTCACAGATCGCAGCCCCCCAGGGATGGCGAGGTCCAATTTGAGCCCGCCGTGTGTACCCACTGCGTTGGGCCCCCCAGCAGCCCTCGAAAGTGGCGACAGTTTCGCAGATCGCAGCCCCCCAGGGATGCCGAGGTCCAATTTGAGTCCGCCGTGTGTACTCACTGTGCTGGGCCCCCCCAGCAGCCCTCGAAAGTTGCGACAGTTTCGCAGATCGCAGCCCCCCAAGGATGGCGAGGTACAATTTGAGTCCGCCGTGTGTACCCACTGTGCTGGGCCCCCCCAACAGGCCTCGAACGTGGCGACAGTTTCACAGATCGCAGCCCCCCAGGGATGGCGAGGTCACATGTGGGTCAGCCGTGTGTACCCTCTGTGTTGGGCCCCCCAGCAGCCCTCGAAAGTGGTGACAGTTTCGCAGATCGCAGCCCCCCAAGGATGGTGAGGTCAGAGGCAGGGGGGAAGAGAGGGACGGGAAGGAAGTTTCGCGCGAGCAGTGCTCTATTCAAAACGAGAACCCAACGCAGGAGGGTTGGGAATTATCCTGGCGAAGGACCCAACCATATGCAATTGTGAATAACGCTTTGTGGGTGCCGCCTTCGGTGGGGCCCCTTATGGGGCCACGAAAGGCGTGCCACGAAACGCTGTCCTGGGCGTACGGACGCATGAGGACGGTAGCACTAGGGCCTTCGGTGGAGCTCCCTATGGTGCCACGGAACGTGTGAGGGGTGTGCCGAAATGTGTGCGGCGCCGCCATGCGAACGCAGCCACTGGGGCCTTCGGTGGAGCTCCCTATGGGGCCACGAAGCGTGTAAGGGGTGTGCCGAAATGGGTGCGGCGCCGCCATGCGAACGCAGCCACTGGGGCCTTCGGTGGAACTCCTTATGGGGCCAAGAAGCGTGTGAGGGGGTGTGCCGAAATGGGGGGTGGAACCGCATGCGAACGCAGCCACTGGGGCCTTCGGTGGAGCTCCTTATGGGGCCACGAAACGTGTGAGGGGTGTGCAGAAATGTGGGGTGGAACCGCATGCGAACGCAGACACTGGGGCCTTCGGTGGAGGTCCCCCTGGGGCCACGAAGCGTGTGAGGGGTGTGCCGAAATGGGGGGTGGAACCGCATGCGAACGCAGCCACTGGGGCCTTCGGTGGAGTTCCCCCTGGGGCCACGAAGCGTGTGAGGGGTGTGCCGAAATTGGGGGGTGGAACCGCATGCGGACGCAGCCACTGGGGCCTTCGGTGGAGCTCCCTATGGGGCCACGAAACGTGTGAGGGGTGTGCCGAAATGTGGGGTGGAACCGCATGCGGACGCAGCCACTGGGGCCTTCGGTGGAGCTCCCTATGGGGCCACGAAACGTGTGAGGGGTGTGCCGAAATGGGGGGTGGAACCGCATGCGGACGCAGCCACTGGGGCCTTCGGTGGAGCTCCCTATGGGGCCACGAAACGTGTGAGGGGTGTGCCGAAATGGGGGGTGGAACCGCATGCGGACGCAGCCATGGGGCCTTCGGTGGAGCTCCCTATGGGGCCACGAAACGTGTGAGGGGTGTGCCGAAATGGTGGGTGGAACCGCATGCGGACGCAGCCACTGGGGCCTTCGGTGGAGCTCCCTATGGGGCCACGAAACGTGTGAGGGGTGTGCCGAAATGGGGGGTGGAACCGCATGCGGACGCAGCCACTGGGGCCTTCGGTGGAGCTCCCTATGGGGCCACGAAACGTGTGAGGGGTGTGCCGAAATGGGGGGTGGAACCGCATGCGGACGCAGCCACTGGGGCCTTCGGTGGAGCTCCCTATGGGGCCACGAAACGTGTGAGGGGTGTGCCAGAATGGGTGTGGGAGGGGGGGGATGGGGGAGGAGGGAGGGAGGAAGGAGGCGGGAACGCGGGGCACCGTCTCTTCAAAACGAGGACCCAACACCACAGGATGGTTGGGAAAAACACAAGGTTTCGCAACACGGATTTTCAACAAAAGCGTGCGCGCGCGTTCTTGCGTCGTCGGCGTCTTCCTTCCTCCCTCATCGTTGTCGTCGTCGGCGTCGCCGTCCTTCCTGCCCCTTCGTCGTTCGCGTCGTCGCCGTCCTCCCTCCTCCCTCGTCGTTGTCGTCGTTGTCGTCGTTGTCACCGTCGTCGTCCTCCCTCCTCCCCCGTCGTCGTCTTCGTTGGCGACGTCGTTGTCGTCGTCGTCGTCGTCGTCGTTGTCTTCGTCGTCGTCGTCGTCGGCGTCGTCGTCGGCGCCGTCGTCGTCGTTGTCATCGTCGTCGTCGTCGGCGTCGTCGTCGTCGGTGTCGTCGTCGTGGTCGCTGTCGTCGTCGAAGTCGTTGGAGACGTCGTCGGTGTTGTCGTCGTCGTCGGAGTCGGCGGCGCCGTCGTCGTCGCTGTCGCTGTCGTCGTCGGCGTCGGTGTCGTGGCCAAGTGCCATCTGGTACCTACCGTCACGGTCTTGTCTTCAGAGGTCTTGCGACCAAGTTGCGGGTGGGAGGGTGGGATGTTTGCACGAGCAATGGAAAGGACAGCTTCAAGACGGTCAAAGTGGATTGCACCACATAGATTGCACACAGTATGTTGCTAGAGGCACACTTTTTGGGATACATGCTGGCTACTGTTTTGTAACTAACACGTGCCGTGTTCAAAACGTACGTGCTAATACGTTGCGTGTTGGTTCAACGTGTTGGCCCACGTTTTGGCGAACCGAACGCGCCGACCGTGCGTTTTCAATCTACGTGTGGAACTCCATGTCAACAAGCTACGGGTTGCGTGTTACGTATCGGGGCGGTTTGACAGGTCTGCACGAATCGGGACGACAGCGACATCCAGATCGCCACGGATTTCCAGCGGGAGCCGTGGCTAGACGTGCAATTGCACTCCGCCATGGTGGAGGCGTGAACTCTGCCGCGCCCTTGCCGGTATGACTGCAGTGTCGGTTCAACGCCTTCCTCTCTTCCTCCTGCCCCTCCCCGCTTCCTCTACCATTGGAGTTGGGCTACAGGCGGCCCGAACTAGTGGGTCGACCCTGCCAGGTCAAGGGTACCCTCGTGTCCCGTGTCTTGCGACCCATGCCGCCTGCATTTCTGTGGCAGCGTGTCCCCCAGAAGGGTCTTGTGTCCTCTCGCGTGTCCTGTCCCATCAAGGCCGACCGTAGTCGAGACAACGGCGGCCCTCCCTCGCTCCTCCTCCTCCTCCTCCTCCTCCTCGCTGCTCCTCCTCCTCCTCGCTCCTCCCTCTCCTCCTCCTCGCTCCTCCTCCTCGCTCCTCCTCCTCGCGGCTTCTCGCCGCCACGGCTGGGTTTGCCCCAACAGACGGGTCAGGGTAGACCCTGGGAGGGGTCCGGGGGCCGATGCCGGGCGGGCTTGGGCCGGGCGGCGGAGTCGCCGTTGTCTCAACGGGCCCTGCTCTCGGGGAGGCGTGAGACGCGAGCTCGTCAGAACTCGGGCTGGAGCCGACGTCTTCTGACGGGCCCGTCCTCGAGCAGCGGCGAAGCGTCCCGGCTCGAGTACAGGCCCACCAGAGAATGTTCTGAGCTTTTTGTGGTCTGCACGGAATGTTCGCAGAGCAGTTTTAGCTGGGGCTGTCTTGTTTTAGAACACCGGGTGAATGTTCTTTTGTTATCCGAACATTTGTGGGTTCTCAGAACATGTCGTGGTAGGCCTATAGAAATGTCGGGACGGTCGGTCCCTGCTCAACGTCCTGGATTTGGGCGGCCTTGTTTTAGTGGTATGTTTTCAGCGGGAGATCTTGCCAAATCTCGTATTGGGTCTCGTCGTTTTTCTCTGACGGCCTTGTCAGGCCAACTCGAGTCATTCAAATTTGAGGGTTACGTCTCCCCGATCCTCCGATATTACCTCTTCGTGCTGCGTCTGCTCCTGCGAGGTTGTGCTTTGCTTCCCCGTTGTCGGCACCCCGCAAGCGTTGCGCGGTTTGTTCCTGAGTCGCTGGCTCTCCGCTCCAGGCTGGCAAGTCCATCCGCATCCCCATCGTCTTCTCGCCAAGGGATGTCTGTGAGTACATGCACCGGGTCGAATTCTCGATCAACGAGTACACCCGGACGGCCCGCTGGGGGGTTGTGGAAGGAGCTGCGCGTGGGCGGGGGAGGGGTGGAGCAAGGTAAGATGGGGAGGAGGACGAAGAGTAAGGGCAAGGGGAGCGAGATCCCTTCTTTTCCTCATCTTCATCATTCCTCCTCCTCCTCCTCCTCCTCTTCCTCGACTTCCTTCCCTTTTTCTCCTCCGCTGAGGAGGAGGAACAGGGGGAGACATCGAGGCGATGGGAGAGGGGACGAGGCAGAGCATGGGGGTTTCGAGAATACTTAGTGCGGAGCGCCAGGAGGGGGGATCTGGAGGATAAGCGGGGAGGGGGGGGACGAGGAAACGGATAATGATTAGATTGTGAGTCCGAGCGCGCGACAGGATAAGTGTGGGAGTCGATTTTCGACGCCCTGAGGGGAAGGAGGGATAGGATGAGGAACAGGAGATGGATGAATATTGAAGATGAACAAACTGTATTCACAGAAGCTTGCGAGGGTCGGAGAGGACTTCTTGGATCGGCGCATGTGTAGGATGAGGGAGGGAGGGGCGGGGGTCGAGGAGAAGGGGACATATCGAATCTGAATAAAAAGAACATAAATTTTCGAAGGTCCGCGCGGACCTATGAAAGCTTATGTTTATGACGACTTATCATTGTATTGAAAGTGGAGGTTGAGAACGAGGACACCGAGAAGAAATAGGAGGAGATACAGGAGGCGGACACTGGATGAGTAAGTGAAAGAGGGAGGATGCGCAGGGAGAGGCCGACCAGAATGACGACAAGGAGGGGAGTGGGTAGGACCAGGTAGGATGAGGAGGAAGAGGTTGAGTGGAGAAATGAGAGAAGACAGGGCGTCGAGTCTCTTTCAGGCCACCTCGCATTCACGATTCGAAGTCCTGCACGCCGAGAGCTCGCGGTCCCTCTACCTCCTCTCTTTGCCTCTCTCTCTCTCTCTCTCTTTCTCTTTCTATATATACATATGTCTATGTGTTGCGAGCTCACTTCTGCCGCTAGATGGGTTCGTGCTATGTGCTATTGAGGTCCGCCGTTCCGCTTGCTTCTATTCGCCAACGGTCAGAGCCGACGCGCGCAACGGTTCTCGAACAGACGCACGCGGGCAAGTGTGCATGGCACAGGTGGGCATGCACAGCCTGCCGTCGTCGTACTGCTCTTGCACACTCGCCCTTCTCGAGGCCGTCCTTCCAATGCGCCTTACTGGCCCGCTGCTCTTGCCAACTTCGTTCCCCGCTCCCTCATGCTCAGTACTTCCTCGACGAGCTCGACCCGACCCGCCCGCCCCCCCCCCCCCAGGGCCGTCCCAATGGGGAGGTGATGACTAGGAGGGGAGGTGGATCTCACGGCGGGGACCATGATGTTTTCTCAGAGTTCATGCCCCCCCCTTCTTCTTGCAATACGTCCCCTGGCCTCCGCCCTCGTCCGCGCGCATGCCTCATGCCATGATCTGCGAACCCCCCTCGTGGACGCCCCCCGCTTGCACGCCCCCGACTCCGGGTCCGAACCATCTCGAGGGCCCTGGCTCTGCACGCGCTTGCACGGAGGACCCGAACCCATCGGGCTGTCCCCGGCGCCCAGCCCCGTCGGCACGGCAGCTCTTCTCCATCCTCGTCGGCGTCGTCGTCGTCGTCGTCGTCGTCGTCGTTTTAGTCCTCCCTCCCTCGTCGCCGTCCTCCACCTCCTCCTCTTCCGCCTCCTCCTCCTCCTCCTCGTCGTCGTCTTCCTCCTCCTGGCGCGGGGCGCACCCTCCCTCTGGGGCTCTGCGGCGGGGCCCTCCGGAAGCCTGGCGCAGGGCTCGGTGGCCTCCTGGCTCGCACCGGTGTGCGAGGGACCGCCGCTGTCCCTCCGCTGCGCCCGCCGAGTGGGGACCGGCCTGCCTCGCAGCCACGCGGCCTCTCACCGCTTGCCTCCGCGCCCTGCTCCCTTGCCTGGCGCGCGTCACGAGGTGGTTTTCACAACTCGGTCCCGAAGAGGTCCGGGTTCCTCCCCAGGGGCCAGCTGCTCCTCTCGAGTCGTTCTTGGAGGGTCCTGGGGGGCCCGGAGAGCACCCCTGGAGGCCGAGAGTTATCCACGCAACTTCCGCTGCGGTGTTCCCTGAACATTTGGGCTGTGCATGGTATTACCTTTTATTTTACGTGGCACCCCGCAGATGCGGATAAGAGTGAGGGGGGGGTGGGAACGTCGGCAGTTTGCGAGACTCTGGAGAAGCCCGCCGCAGGCGCCAAAGTTTTACAACTTATACAACGAGTCCGCAGGCGTCGATTTTTTCGTTAAACACATTTGGGTAGGTCGCGGGTGGGTCGCGGGTGTAGAGGGCAGAAAATCCACCCCATAATAATCACCCCGACAAGCGAAGCCGTTTAGTAAACGCACACGAGGAGTAAATCGAACAGCGCAGGGTTGTTGAGTCAACGCCAAGAGCCTTTTTGGTAAAAGCCAACTGTCGGGTCCGGGCTGTTTTTCCTCCATTGAGGGTGGGTCGCGGGTTGGGTCGCGGGTGGGTCGCAGGTTGGGTCGCGGGTGGGTCGCGGATGGGTCGCGGATGGGTCGCGGGTGGGTCGCGGGGTGGGTCGCGGGGTGGGTCGCGGGTGTGTCGCGGGTGGGTCGCGGGTTGGGTCGCGGGTGTGTCGCGGGGTGGGTCGCGGGGTGGGTCGCGGGGTGGGTCGGGTGTGGGACGACGACAGCAAACAACAACAACATTGAGAACAACAAAATGCAACAAGCAGAATTCTCACCACGAATTCCTCATTCAGCCACGCACCCAGGGACAACGAATGACCGTTCGGGCCCCTCACTCTGACTATATTTTGTTATATTTCAATCGAAGGTATTCTGATTGAGTCGATGATTTTATCTTTTTGTATAATTTGTCTGTATCATATCTTTTTGGAGTAGAAGGTCGTATACTACATGCTATTCGGTTAAAATGTAATGTACCATGTTACGGAATGGTTAATTGAACTCGTGTGTACCATAAGATATCATACATCATCGGGTAGAGTACCACATTATACTATATGAGGTTATATCATATGTCAATATATTATATGCTAGGGATGAAATTTCAGTACAATATATTGTACATCATGCTACTATATAACATTCTGCCATGCTATGATGCAACGCATTCCAATACAGCCTGTCATTACAGAGTACAATATATAACATTATAACGTTTCATACCATGTCATTGATTAGTGTACTACATCTTACTTTCGTATATTACATTAGAATACAATATAGTGTATTATACTGTGTTCTGTTATTTTAGATCCCAATGATAGTATATCATATCGTGCCAAATGATATCATAGTAAAGTATATGATGATCCAGTCTATTATTTCCGAAAGGAGCGAGGATGTGTGTTCCGTGTTCAGAATCGGTTGGGCGACGTTGTCTCGCATTCCCATTGTCTCCCGTTGTCTCCGACATTCTCTACCATCGTCTCCCGTTGTCTCCCATTGCCTGCCGTGGTCTACCTCTACCGCTGTCCCTCTGCCTCTGTCCCCCTCCCTTGTATCCTTACCCATCTCCTTATTCCCTCCTAGGGCCCCATCCCTATAGCCTTTATCTTTGGCCGTATACCCCCATTCCCACCTCCATCCCTATCCCGATCCCCCCATCGTGACCCCCCATCGTGACTGTGTAACGCCGTTGGGGTCCTCTGCCGCAAGGGGTTGCAATTTTGTCGCCACGCTCGACCAGCAAGTTCCCAGACACGCTTCGAGGCCCGCTCTCACACCGCTGCGACAAGAAACGTGGCTTCATCACAACGCAAAGAGGTACACCTCCCATGGGTCTTCTCCTTTTCCTCCTCCTGGTTGGGGTCGTCTCGGAGTCGCGTTGGCGAGTGGGACCAGACAGGGTGGATCACAAGGTTCAACCCTCAGGCCGCCAGGTGACCCCAAGACCTCGAGGGCTCTAGCTGGAGACCCGATAAGGGTCGCGTGGGGAGTCTTTGGGTTTAGCGTGACCTCAGCCTAGTTCAGGGATCCCGTCGTGTTAGGGCGCGCCAGTCATTCAGACAGCTAGTCCTCCTGATTGAAGATGCCAGCATTGTCCAGACGATCTCCACAGCTCTCTCGCAGCCGATGCTCTGCTGTCTGCTTGGGGTCGCCCGCGCGCGGCAGGGAAGCGTGACGCGCGCCCTGCCAGAGAGCGCGTGCACGGGCGGGTGTGGGCGAGCAGGTCGCGAAGTGCAGCGTTGCCCGAGAGCTGGTCGCCGTCGTGGCCCCAGGATGAGGGCGAACTCCTCCGGGCGACCAGGTCTCCTGCTCCTCGACGGCGCGTCGAGGGGGGGTAGTGAGAGGGGGGCCGGCCTTCTCAGAAGGCGGCGGGCCTTCGGAGAGGGCTCAGAAAGCTTCCGGGAAGGCCCGAGGCCTGCTGAGCCTTTTGCGGAGACCCGCCCCCTCTGCCTTCCTCCCAGGATTCGCCGCCGACCCTTGGAGTGCGGCAGCACTCTGGGTCCCGCTGCTCTGTCCCATTGCTCCCTTCGCGGGTTCCGAGCCGCACGCCGATGGATGGCTGCGTGTGCTCACCGGGCCCTGGTGCCGAGACGGACACAGCAGGCGCACCACACAAGAGGCCAGCTCGCCGGCAGGTGCCCCACGGGCATCCCTGCCCCCCGATGGCCCCAGGGACCGGCAGCAGGGTCGGGGGCACTTCGGGACCCTCCTGTGTCGACGAAGAGTGTGCCCCGAGTTGTCTTGTGACAATTGTGGCTTGCAGCACGCTTTGCTACTGCCAGCCCGCAGAGGAAGGATGAGCGACGCTCCAAGGTTACCCAGTGCATCCTTCCCATTCGGCCCGTCCTCGGCCGCTGCCGCTGGCCGCGGGGTGTCGACGTGGCCTCCCCAGGCCCTCGCATCCTCATTGTGCGTCCTTGCTGTGCGGCTGACCGTGTCGCACGTGTCTACTGCTCAGAGCTCCTCCCCGTTCCCCGCCGCGGCCAGGCGGTGGACATCCGCGGGAGGGGCTGCCCGCTGAGGCCCGCGGGGGTGCCCCGCCGGCCGCTGCCGCGCCGGCCCTGCCTGTCGGCCACGCCGCGGGGCCTCCCCCGAGAAGCGCACGGGGCGGCCCGTCGGCGGCGGCGAGACCCGCTTCCCGCCCTCGGCGATCGGCGATCGAGGTGGCAGCGCCGAGGCTGGAGGCCTGGGCTTCTCTCGCACGTCTTCGTGGGCCCTCGGCGGCTTTCCAGAGCCGCGGGCTGCGTTGCGGCGGCGGCGCCTCGCCGCGGGCGCCCGGGGGGTGCCCAGGTTGGGCCCGAGCGGCCGCCCGGGCGCCGAGCTGTGGCCCGAGTGGCGACGGGTGGGTCGGCGGCGGCCTCCGCACGTTGTCCTCTCGAGCAGTGGCGAGGCGTCCTGGCGCGCCCATAGCCCTGCCAGGCAGTGTTCTTAAGAGCCTTCGGTGGCTCCCACGAGATGTTCTCGGAGCCTTTTTGGCTGGGTTTGTCTTGTCTTACCATGTCGGGCTCATGCTCCAAGAACACTGCGTGTGTTCTTAGAGCATTCTTGGGTCCTAAGAACATTTCGTGGTAGGACTAGAGGAATGCCTGGACGGTCGGTCCCTGCTCAATTTTCGCCGACCAACGATCCAGGCAACCCGATGGGTGGCGGGGGTACTTAGGGTTCGAATTCGTCGAACACGTGGCAAAATTCGAACCCTACCCCCGTTTATATCGATGCAGGGGAGCCGACGATTGGTGGGGGTAGGGTAGGGCAGGGCTCGGATGTCGGGGAGGAAACGACAACGATACCGCTGCTCGTCTGGGAGACGCCTCGCCGCCACGGTCGGATCCTCCCCGAGATCCCCGGCACCCCTGGGGGAGGCCCGTGGAGTAGCGGTTTCGGCATCTCTTGGCCCCCCTCCGGTGGGGCAAGGCCACGGCGGCGCAGTGGGGCGTCAGACCGCCGCCCGCCGACGATCGAGGACCCGGCGTGGGCGCAGGCTCCCTCTCCCAGCATACGCGTGCGCCGTGTGCCGTCAAGCTTTCCAGCAGCAGCTCCTCGCCAGAGCCTCCACCCGGTCCGCCCACCAGCTCGATGCTCTCCGGGGCCAGTCCCGGCTCGCTTTTTGGCCGGGAAGGAGGAGGAGGAGGAGGAGGAGGAGGAGGAGGAGGAGGAGGAGCGCGGAGTTCTGGGGCCCCAAGGCCATGTGGTGACGGACCGCGCGGTGGCACCGAGATCCCACACGAGACCTCACCCGAGGCGCGCCGTCACCACACGGCTGTGGGGCCTCGGAAGATGCCGCGGTCGCCCGAGGCGTCTTCGGAGGACGACGATCCGAGTCCCGAAACCGTGCGGTGATGCCGACTCCCCACTGGCTCAACACACGGGGTGGTCACCGCATCCTCAGGGCCCTGAGGGTGGGTGACTTGTTTTTCTTCGGGGGGGAGGCTGCGCTGGTCATCGCAGCGGGCGTCTCCTCTCTGCGCGGGGGGATGGGAGGATCTCTTGCCGCGTTGCCCGGCGCTCCGCGCACCTGGTCTGCTGCGCAGGCTGGAGGTTGCAGATGCCGAGATGCAGAACATTGATTTCGGCGTCGTTACAGGAGCACGCCGTCTCTTCTTCTCCTTCTTCGTCGCATTAGTATGATTATTATTATTCCTATCGCCCGCCGCGAGGTCGGTCCGCCGAGTTATCGGCCCGCCGCCCTCAGCGGAGACTCGCATCGGGAGCCGGCGGCATCAAAGATGTGCGAAAGCGTGGCAATCTGGTCTGGGATTGGTCGCCTGGGTGCTAAGCGTGTCCATGTCGCCAATGCTTGTCTGCCCCCCACGTCCTCCACCCCCCATTCCTCTCCGCCCGTTCCCTTGACGCATCCTGGGCGGGGGTCCTGTCCATGTCATCGTATCCGATGACGCCACGCTAGTTTTGCTGATCGATACTTCTCCCAGGTGTTACTTTAGTTCTGCGGGCACTACCTAGTCTGCGCGTCCTGATCCTTCTATGCGACACACGCAGCGTTGTGAATCAACGGTTTTGAAATTCACAGCGAGGCTGGCGTTGAGTAGCTTTTTCGCTCCGCTCGGCTCTTGCTTGCGGCCGATGGGCAGGTGTACAGGCGACGAGGTATGATCGACGGCCTCAGACGACAAAGGGGCATCCGGGAGGACGGACCCCGCGGGGAGCCATCAGCAGGTGAGCACCCAGATGCTTGCCGCAGACGCCGCCGCCGCTCCAGGGCAGCGACGCAGCGTGAAGGATGCTGAGTCAACGACACGTTGGAGCTTCTCTGAGGCCTCGTGAAGGCTTCCCAGGAGCCTTAGGTTCGGGTGGGGGGCCTTTGGTGGTCTTTATGGGGGACTTCGGGGAGACCTTCAGGGAGTCTATCGGGCCTCTCGTGGGCGTCTTCGGGGCCTCTTGGGCGTCTCTTGGGGGCAGGTGTGCTTTGGTGGCAATCCTTTCGGAAAGGCTATCAAAGCCAGCCCGATGTCCCCCTCTTGGAGCCTTTTTGGGAGCCTCTTGGGCCGTCTTGGCGGCATCTTGGGCCGTCTGGTGGTTCCCTTTGGCAGTCTAGAGGGCCTGCTGGGCCGTCTTGGGGCCCCCTTGGGCCATCTTGGGGATCTCTTGGGACTCTTGGGGACCTTTAGGCCGTCTTGGGCTTCACAGAGGGCCAGCGCATTATAATCTTCCCAAGGAATTGAAAACAATGTTGGTTGCCCTCGAGGGCCTCTTGGACGTCCTCTTGGAGCCCGCTTGTGCCGTCTTGTGGTCCTCTTGGGCAGTCTTGGGGCCATCTGTGGGCCTTCTTGGAGCGTCTGGATGCCTTCCTGTGCACTCTTGGGACCGCCTTGGAGGCCTTTCGGCCGTCTTGGGCCGAGATTGGCTGGAACGTGTGTTGTATTCTTTCGGTGGGTTGTTGCTGTTGTTGTTGCTGTTGTTGTTGTTGTTGGTGGTGGTGTTGTTGTTGTTGTTGGTGGTGTTGTTGGTGTTTGTGTTGTAGTTGTTGGTGTTGTAGTTGTTGTTGTTGTTGTTGTTGTTGTTGCTGTTGTTGTTGTTGTTGTTGTTGTTGTTGTTGGTGTTTGTGTTGGTGTTGTTGCTGTTGTTGTTGTTGTTGTTGTTGTTGTTGTTGTGGTTTGTGTTGTTGGGTGTGCTGTTGTTGTTGTGGCTGTTGTGGGCCGTTGTTGTTGGCCGTTCAGGTTGTGTTGTGCTGTTTTTGGTCGTAGTGACCCCCCTCGGCCAGAGCCTCTTTTCGGCCAGAGCCTGTCCAAACAGAAACTTGACATACGAAGTACTATAAAACCGGCTGCGGAGAGGGATGGGGGGATTCCCAAGCGACGCGTGCGGGGAGGGGGTCGGGTCGGCCCTAGAATTCACGAAGAAGCCTTACCAGACAGCAGCAGAGCGATCCAAGACGGCCCAACAGGCAAGACAGATCGCCCCAAGACTGCCCATGCAGTCCCGGAGAGAGCCCCAAGCCGGCCTGAGGGAGCCCCACGACGCCCTAAGAGGGGCCCCGAGGGGCCCGAGAGGCTCCCAAGAGAGCCCCAAGAGGGCCCTGGGCGGCCTCCAAGACCTGGAGAAGGTCCCAAGACGGCCCAAGCCCCCCAGAACGGCCCAGGAGGCTTCCGGGCCTGCCCAAGAGCCTCCCAAGAGGACCACCCAGACGGCCTCAGGAGTGAGAAAAAACCCTGGTATTCTTTTTGTTGGAGGGTTCTCGCCTCTTCGGGCCCAGATCGGCCGAAGACCTTTCTGAGGGCATCCGAGACTGCCCCAGGACGGCCCAGGAAGCTCACAAGAGGGGCCCAAGATGGCCCCAAGACGGTCACGGAGAGCCATGAGACGGCAGAGGTGCCCCTAACAGGGGGGCCCCGATGCAGTCGGCCGCTTTTGCTGGCCGCGCCCCGCTCGCAGAGTGCCGACATGGCCTTGCAAGGCCCTTGCGTCCTTATCGTGCGTCCTTATCGTACGGGCTGACTGGAGGCTCCCGCGAGAGCACCCAGGGTGCCATCGGGAGGCCCCCCGACGAGGCCGACAAGGGCCCCCAGCAGGGCCGCAGGACGAGCCAGGCCCGGCCCTGACCCGCGCGCCGCAGGAGGCGAGGTGCCCGTCCGGACCGTGAAGCTGGCGAACCGCTCCGCGCGGCAGGCGGGGGCCGTCCTCTGCGGCCGGGCCGGCGGCGACGTGGGCCCTCGGATCTCGGGGGACCCCCAGAACCAGGAGGATCGAGGTGGGTGCTCCGAGTTTCTCGACGAGCGTCGGGCGGGCGTCACCCCCGCCGACAGCCCCACATCGACCCCTGTCGCGGGCAGCCACCGCGCGCCGAGGGCGCTCCGACCCCCTCGCGGCGCGAGGACGAGGCGAGGTGGACCCCCGTCGGGGGGGTACCCCCCACGCTTTTCAAGAAACCCAGAGTGCGGAAAGGAGGGGTACGATGCCCAACAGCAGTTCTTGTTCATTCTGAAGAGGACTCGCCGTCCGCAACGGGGGTCAATGCGAACGGGGCTCAGGCAGAGCGCCGGAGCCTGCAGGATCCTGCAGGGCCAGGGTCGCACTGGCCCGGGTTTGGGTGCAGGGTTCTGCAGGATCTTGCATAGCCCGACTGACCTGGGTTTGCGTTGACCGGGGCCAGTGCGTCCCCGGGTGGACCCTCAGATTTCGGGGGCCCCCAGACTCCAGCAGTGGCGAGGCGTCCGGGTTCGCCTGCAGGCCCACCAAAGAGTGTTCTGAGAGCCTTTTGCGGATTGCGCGACGTGTTCTCAGAACAGTTCTTGTTGAGACCGTCTTCGCTAGCCACATCGGCCTGATGTTCCAAGAGCTCCTCCTGATTGTTTTAAGAACATGTCTAAGAACACGTCGTGGTAGGCCTATGGGATCGCCAGGAAGGTCGGTCCCTGCTCAGCAGACTGTATGGTTCGGGGAGCAGACATTGTGGGGTGCGGACCCAAAGGATAAAAAGGCACCCATACCGCTACCCTTCGCCCGTTGTCCTTTCTTGTTTCGGCCTCCTGGGAGGCCCTCGTCGCCACCGCTGGATTCGCTTCGAAATCCTGGTCAGAACGCGCCCCCGAAGAGGTCTGGCGAGTACAGTCAAACCACATGGTAAGGCTAGCATGAGCACCCTTACCAAGGGTACCTGTTGCACCTTGCCTCCTCGGTCCATCCTTGGCCACTTTCGTTGGCCGCGCCCCGCTCGAAAAGCTTCGACAATGCCTTGCAAGGCTCTTGCATCCTCATCGTGCGTCCTTCTTCTACGGGTTGACTGTAGCGGCATCGGTACCTAACTATGGGTGTCGCCACAGACGGCATGGCCCAGGGATCTTGTGTTTGTCGGCGGCCTCGCCACCCGCCCCTCTTGGGCACGCACACGATCTGCTGCGTGGTCTGCGTGTGGCCCCCTCGCCTCCCGCCCCCCCCCCGGCCGCCTCGCGCCTCGCGCTCCTCCGCCCTCGTGCCGCACGTTGCCCCGGCGCGCCCCGCCGCCGCTGGACCGCCGCCTGTCCGCCTGCGGCCGCTGACGCAAGAGCTTGTCGGCGGCGGCTTGGGTCCGAGGCGCGGTCCGGACAGCCGAGGGACGCTTCGGGGCCCAGTGACTGTGGACACAGGGGGGAGCACGAGAGGGCGTAGGGGAGGGGGGGAGCCGTGGACGGCGGAGCACGCTCAGGCCGCGGAGATGTTGCGCGTGCGTGCCGGAGCACAGGCTCACACGAGCGGCAAGCCGGGAGTGGCGGGGCCGATCTGCGGCTGCACCAGGGTGCGTCAATTGCACGAACCCTACTGGCGCAGCTCCGAGGCGATTGCGCACGCAAGTCATGCGAAGGACAGTCCAGGTTGCACGGGCACTGCAGAGCTCCAGAGACGGATGGTTCGGGGATCAAGCAATGATGCAATAATCAGCTTCTGGAGGTCCACGCGGATTTCTCGGATCGGCGCAGCAGCCCCCTGGCGCCGCCCCTGGCCCGCTCCGCGCGCCAGGGAGGAATGTCCAGAACCGATGTCAGAAATCCGCGCGGACCTGCGAAAGTGGATGTTTGTGCCAGCATGTGATCTTCGAGTGACGACCACACCATGTGGTGAGTCCGTGTGGGTTCGAGGTCACCGCGCACGTTTAGGGCTCGGGTCGTTCTCCGAGGACGTCTCGGGCGGTTGGGGTCTCCATTGTTCCATGACCCGACCGCGCTGTGGTGTCATTCGGGATTTCGAGGTGACCGCGCGGGGGGCCCCTAACAGATCCCGCACCCCCCCCCTGAGAAGGAGGCGAAGCAGGAGGCCCCGATCGGCGGATCCGAGGCCCAGAAGGCGGGGCCTTGAGGAATGGGGCCCCAGGGAAAGGAAGTATGACCCAAGTCGAAACGTCAATGTCTGGTGCTCCCGTCTGTACGGGCCCATCACTCAGGGCCTTATTTGTTCAGAAGCGGCGTTAGGATGGGTATACGCTCAGGGGGGAAAGCATCGACCCCCAGTCGCCCATTCATCGCCGATGGAAGCATGATACCCTGCCCTGGAGCGTGCGGATTGCTATTTGGGTCCTGTCGCCGATCTATCTGCGATGCACCGCCGATTCTAGCTCGATGTCTTCCGCTCGACGTCTTCCGCTCGACGGCTTCCGTCGACCCCCCCCCCGAGCTGGTCCCTGACGTTGCCTCTCACGATGCCTGCCCCAGGTGTCCTTCGAGCTCGTGGACGAGAAGCGCGAGCTGACCGACCGGGCGGTGGCGTGGACGCCCGGCCCCGGGACGACGCAGACGCTAAAGCCGAAGGAGCAGCCCGGGGGCCGCGCAGGGAAGGCACTCATCGCAGGGGTCGGCCTCAACGGTGTCTGGGCGATTTCGCGGGCCGCTTTTGTTTCGACTGTGTCTGGCAGCAAAGGCAGACTGAAGACAGCACGAAGGAAAACGAGCAACGAAACGGACACGAAACACACTGCTCAGCTCGAGCCCCGTCATCTCGCCGCCACCCCCCACACCCACCACCCCGGCCGAACCCGAAGGCCTCAAGTTGTCCTCCATCTCCAGTGGGAGGGGTGGGCCGGGGAACATTGAAAGCACACATGTGTAACACGTAGCCCTTCCCCCCCCCCCCACACCTTAAACTTGGGTCTTCGGATCAGGGCCTGGCATCGCTCGGACAGGTGTATTTTTTTGCTCGGCGAGGACCCTTGAGGACCATCCTGGACCATCGAGCCAACTAAAAACACGCACGAAACCAAAACATGCACGGGAAATGGACGTCCGAGCGACGGCAAGAGGGCGGGGTGTTCTGGCAGGTGGTCATCGATGGGCCCGGGACGGGCCTTGGCCAGGGTCGGGGGGGGGGAGGACGTCGTGGATCCTCGTCGCTCGACCCCCGTGGGCCCGCCTCCCCCTGCGGGCCCTCCTCGCCCTCACCCTGGGGGCTGCCTCGGGGGGGGGGGGGGTGCTGTGGATCTCGTGGCTCGACCCTCCCCGGGGTTCCCGCCTCCTCCCCTGGGGGAAGAGGCGGGAAAGCCTCCTCTTCCCCCGGGGTTCCCGCCTCTTGCCGCCTCTTCCCCCGGGAGAAGAACCCCGGGGAGGGGCCCCTCCCCGGGGCTCTTCTCTCCCTCGCCCTGGGGCTACGCGACGTCGACCAGCAGGACGCCCGCGCACGTCCGAGGCCACGCGGGCCTCGGGCGTGCGCAGCTGGCGCCAGCGCTCGCGCCGCGCGGCCGGGCCCGCGGACCCGAGAGGGCCGCGCTCGCGTGCCTGCGTGGCGGAGGGCGCCCGCGCGCGTCCTTTTCTCGGCGGGCTCCCGGATGGTCTGGGAGCTCCGGGGCCTCCGGCGCCCGAGAGCCCCGCCAGCTCTCTCTCCAGGCGCGCGGCGTCTGCTCCTCTCCGCGTCCGCTCCTCGCAGCGTCACGCGGCAGGGGCCTTCGATGAGGAGCGTGCCCTTGGCATCGCTCGGACGTGTGCCTTTTTCCTTCGGCGAGGACCATATGGAGGAGCATCCTTGGTCATTTGGCGAAAAAAACACGCACGAAAACTGAAAAACACAGGAAAGGGACGTCCGAGCGATGGCCAGTGCCCAGGATGCTTCAGACCCTGGGGGGTTCCTCATCTAATGAGGGCGGCGGTCAGTGACAGCCATGGCCAGTCCACGATCAAAGCTCCACCGGCTTCGAGACCCCGGATTCCTCATCCATGGGTTCCTGATCCAGTGCCCTCACCGTGCAGTCGAGCGCCGGATTGAGACACCTCCCCCCGAAACGCTGGGCCAGCGCCTCGTGACCGGCCCGCCAGAGAGCTGGCCCGGTTTCTGGAGCGCGTTCGCCCTCTCCGGCGTCCGAAGCAGATTTGGCCCAGGCTTGTTTTTTGTTGAGGCACTCTTGGGAAGCTGGCCCAGATTTCTTGAGCACGTTCGCCCCTCCAGCGTTAGCAGCAGAAGTTGCCCCAGGTTTGTCTGAGGAGCGTTCCCGGACGCCGGCCAAGATTTCTTACATGATGGCTTTCTTGATCATGTCTTCGGCTGTATACGCGTATGACCCCAGGCCAGCCTCGGACGCTTCCGTCAGTGGCAACGGCAGAGGGGGAAGGGGACTGTCCCAGGAGGTGGAAGCCTCGGCCCCCAATCGCCGGCTCACCGCCCATCGGGGCATGGGCCCCCCGCCCAGCCCAGATGAGCGTGCCGTTGCGCTGTCGGGGGCCCAGTCGCTGATCCGTCGGCGATGCATGGCCGATTCCAGGTCATTGTCTCCCCGCCTTGAGCCCGCCCCCCCCCCCCGCCCCCTTTCGGCTTCTCTCACAAGAAGGGCCCGATTGCGCTGTCGGGGCCTGATCGCTGATCTGTCGGTGCCGTGCCGCCGACTCCAGGCCTCCCCTCCGCTGAGCCAGGCCCCCCCCCCTTCGACTCCCCGCACAATGATGTACGTGGCGTATTTGGGGGAGCCTTGGCTGTTCCCAGAATTCATGTGCCTTCCTCTGCCCGACGCGGGTCAGATGCGGAATCGACCCAGATTCGGTGTGGACTCGACCCGGATTCGGGCTGGACTCGACGTGGATTCGACTTAGCTTCGACGCGGACAGCAGCGCGACGGGCACGATGATTACATGGGGCTCGTGGGAGTCTCCGAGCAGTGCCCGGCGGGGCCGCGGCGGTCGCTCCCGCCCGCGCCGCGGGGCCCACGTGGGGCTCCGAGCGGGGCGCCGGTGCCGGGCTGGGCCCTCTCCTCCTCCTCCTCCTCCTCCTCCTCCTCCTCCTCCTCCTCCTCCTCCTCCGTCTCGGTCCTCTCCGTTCGCGAGAGGCGCGGGCGCTCTCGTTGGCGCGCAGGAGCGGCCCTTCGCCGAAGGGGCCCCACGCATGGTGCGGGCCTGGGTTGTCATAGGGGGGCGCGGGTCCTGGGGGAAACGGGTCCTGAGATTAGGATTCAGTCGGGCATGTCCCTCTGCAGGAGGAGTGTTCAGAAGCAGTCCAACAGTAGGAGGCGGCGGTGGCCTGCATTCTCAGCGGCACGAGCACGACGGCAGCACGGCGGTGGCGGCTCGAGCACGACGGCGTTCGGCACGAGGGGCAAGCAGTGATGAGCACGTCGTCGTGGGGGGGAGGGGGTTCTGGGCGGAGAGGGGTCCCAGGTGTCTCGCTGGTCTCGGCCTCGCTTAAAGGCTTCAAGATCTTAAGCGCACTTGCGCCCTAGCTATATGTAGTCTAAGTATCTTAGTTGTACTTATGCTACTTACCTGAGTTAGATATAAGTTACTTATAAGTTACCATAGCGCACGTGCTGTAAGTTACTTAAGGGGGACATATAAATTACTTATAAGTATTCCTAACTGTTGCTTGCGGGGGGGAGGGAGGAGGGGGAGGAGGGAGGAGGCGCGGCGCTCACGTCTTGCCCTTTGCCCGCGCGCGGCCCTTCGGCTTCGCCTTGGCCTTCGCCTCCGCCTCCTTCGCCGCCGCCTCCCTCTCCTTCTTCTCCTTCTTCTCCTTTTTCTTTTTTTTTTCTCCGCCTTCGCCTTCGCCTTCTCCTCCTTCTCCTTCAGCAGCTTGTCCCTCTCGTCCCTCAGCGCCGTCTCCCGCTTCAGCGCCGCGTCCCTCTCCTCGATCGCCTTCTTCAGCTCCACCTCCGCCTCATTCGTCGTCGCCGTCGTCGTCGACATCGTCGTCGTCGTCGTCGTCGCATCCCGCCTCGTCCAGCCATTGCGAGAACTGGAGCGATAACGATCGCTGGGAGGAGGAGGATGAGGGGAGAAGGGGGAGGAGGAGGAGGAGGAGGAGGAGGAGGAGGAGGAGGAGGAGGAGGAGGAGGAAGGGGAGGAAAGAGAGGAGGAGGAGAAAGAAGGGAGGCGGGGGAGAAGGAGGAGGAGCGGGAAGGGGAGGAAGGGGAGGAAGGGGAGGAAGGGGAGGAAGGGGAGGAGGACGGAGCGGGCCCGCCAGTTCTCGCAATGGCTGGACGAGGCGGGATGCGACGACGACGACGACGACGATGTCGACGACGACGGCGACGACGAATGAGGCGGAGGTGGAGCTGAAGAAGGCGATCGAGGAGAGGGACGCGGCGCTGAAACGGGAGACGGCGCTGAGGGACGAGAGGGACAAACTATCGCTATCCTCCTCGTCCTCCCAGCGATCGCTATCGCTCTCCTCCTCCACTTCCTAGTGTCCCCTTCCAGCGATCGCTATCGCTCTCCCCCTCCACTTCCTACTGCCCCCCGTCCGCCCAAAACGACGTTAAATCTGCTAAAGCAGTTGGCGCCAAAAACGGCGTTAAAACAGTTAAATCAGCTTGCTCGTCATCCTCCTCCTCCCCCTCCCGAGCGATCGCCATCGCTACGCCTCCGCGATCCCCATCGCCCCCCGCCTTCCCAAGCGATTGCCATCGCTTCACCTCCGCCCAGCGATCCCCATCGCTTTGTTTTTGCCTCTGCGCGCGCGCGGTGACGCGTCCGCCGCGCCCCTTCGCGCGCCGCGCCCGCGCGCGGTACTCCATGCCAACGCTCGCTGCGGGCGTGCTGCCGCTCCCGCCGCCGCAGAGGCGGCTGTCTCTGCCGCTCCTGCCGCCGCCGCGTGCTGCCGCGACGCCGCGTCGTAGCGGCTGCCTGGCCGCCGCGACCAGTCGACCCCGCCGTCGTCTGCGACCTCGAATTGCACCTGCTCCGTCCAATCTTCCCACGCCTGGTCGTAGGAAGCCTTCGCTGCTGCCAGATAGCCGTCCAGGCCCAGCCTCTGCATTTCTGCAGCAAAGGCATGGTACTGGGCCGATGCCTCGACCCAATACTAGAACGCCAGGACCAGGGACTGCATGCATCGCCTGTGGTGGACCTCGATGTCGGGCCACCACGGCGCCATCTCCCACTCGGTGCCCTCCCCGCCACGGCGCAGTGCCTCGGGCACAACAGGCGGCAGCCTGATCGCCGCCGCCTCGGCGTCCCACCCCTCGCCGCGCGCCCTCGGGAAGCGGTGCACCGCGCTGTCCCCCTCGGCCTCGACATCGGCCCGCGGCCGCTTCCGAAGCCACACCTCCGACGCGGGAGGAGGCGGCGGCGCGGCGCCTCCTCAGTGACGGGCGGCGCCCTCCTCGGCGTCGCCGCCCTCCTCAGTGACGGCGGCGCCCTCCCCAGTGACGGCGGCGGCGCCCTCCTCGGCGCCGCCGCCCTCCTCAGTGACGGCGGCGGCGCCCTCCTCAGTGACGGCGGCGGCGCCCTCCTCAGCGACGGCGGCGGCGGCGGCTGGGGCCGCCGAGAGCTCGCGAGCTCGCTGGAGGAGCCACCGACGAGACGCCGCGGCGTTCTCATCGAGCGAGGGCGCCGCG